TTTTAGGTCTTTGCGTTCTTGAAACCTTAAATTTGTCTGAATTATTTTCTACATTTGCAAGAGTGGTATGTATGCATGTATTGAGATAAGCAGAAATAGTTTTAATTCTTCACCAGTGTACTGGGTCCATAAGTATGGAATATGTGAATAAGACGTAAAACCAATCATTCAAGTCAATCATCAATTGATCGGATTCAATTCAAGTCATCCCGAGTCTTTATTTCGAATAACATTTCTTTGCACACCGCGACGGTTTTTCAATAATTAAGAGGGCGATAAATTGCTTTGAAGTTTTTTTCTTGCAGCCGTTTACAAACTGTTTGTAAAATATCTCCGACATCAAAAAATGATGAACTCTCAGAAAAGTTTTAGGCTAGCGACTAGAACGAAGAACAGTTTCGATGATTGCTTCTAGTTTTTTCATATTTTCGGATGGCTCTTTTCGCTTTTTCCCACCGTCATTTAGTTTTCATTTAATGTTTTGGGCTTTATGAGAAAAGAAAAGTTGAGAGATTAGTTTTTGGAGAAGCTGTGATCTCCAATGCTGAAGGTATGGTGCTAATATTAACAATAACTGACAACACAATTAATAGTAATGGAATATTATTGAAAGGAAATAACCTTTAAAATCCTACACCATTTCTTCTGTGCAATTTCGAAACTAACAATTCCGAAACTAATTTCGACTCTAACAAATTGAGGTGTATAGGCAATAATTGCCGTAAAAACGAAGTCAATAAAATCAAAATATGAAATTAAAAATGTGTCCTTTGGTACCTGCTCTTAATACAATGTTTTTTTAACACGTTTAGTTGAAATAATATTTTGTTTCTTAAACAATTTATATGAGCAGAAACATTCTCTAGTGGATTTGTGCGATATGTGACCAATTTCATTTGAATATATGAAATTGTATCAACATTTCAATAAAGAAGAAATTTGAATTTGCTTAAGTGGTTCAGTGCGATATGGGTCTAATTTTATTTAAAAATAATATAAAAAATAAATACTACAGATACCTTTACCCATGCCATATTTTGCTAACGTTTATTTGTAAATGTGAGTTCGTTTCATTAGGTATTGTGACAATTTTAAACCAGCAAAAATGTTTCGCAGGACCCGAGTCAGAATGCAAAGGTAAGTAATAATAAAAATAAAACTATATATGTATTAAACAACAAATTGAAACCCCTGAGTAATTTCTGAGTTTAACAAGTTGAAATAAAGGGAAACACTTAAGTCATCAATCTTGCAGCGTTTTTGCAGCGGTGTATTTACATGTTATGTAAGCATTTTTAGTTTTTAGACTTTTGAGTAAATTCAAAAATTATTGTTAGAAGTTTGACAAAACTCAAATTGTCTTATTTGAAACGAGAGTGTTTGAATGCCATTTCAAAGCGTCCATTTTGTTCATAGAATTTTGAAAGAATTCCAAACAAAAAATTCGTGTGAATTACTACAAATTATAGAAATGACTGTAAACTTGAGTTAATCGACTAAAAATCTGCTGTCTGTGTAATAAATAATGTATATTCAACATGCTGCTGCTGCTACTGATCTTCTCATATAGTGATGTATTCAGAATATTAAAACTCAGCTCTATTTTTATAGACTTTTCTGAACGGCACAAACATCACTTTGACGCAGGAATAATTCAAAAAATATTTTAAAATAATCAAATTGTTTCCAAAAAGTGTTTGCCATATTTTTGCGTTTGATTGGGATTTTGCGCAGCCACTGTGCACATTTATGAGTTATTTTCCAAGTTGCTTTAAAAATGTCTACAATTGTTCTTGAAAATATTGATAGCAAATCAAAGACCATTTTAACTGCTAAATTAAACCCGTTAAAGAAATTAATAACAAAGGATTCAGTGTTATCATCGACATTATGTTTATAACTAACTGAACATATTTTCGGAATTTTGAGTTATGTTTTCAGTTATTTCATATTAATCACTCTGTATATTCTCTGTAAATTAAATGTAGACATTAAAAAGGAACATATTCATAGAGGCAGCAGCGACTTTGGCAATATTTCAATATTAGTCAAAATTCATCATTATTTTGCCCAGCTTTCGACATTTAATAATAATTAGAGTCCGGATTAAAAAGCACTAAAATCCTCGAAAAAGCGCTGAAAAGGCAAGCTGATTGCAAGTCTATTACTAGTAATATTTTTAGTGTTGACTTGAAACAGAACCAGACTGTAAATACTTTGCTATTGTTTGTTGTTTAGGTTTACGAGGGTGGATCAATAAGTACCCTTGTTAGGGATGAAGAGGCAAATTTTTCACATTTTTTTCTATTTTTCAACGTAATCTCTTTTCAGTACAATAGACTTTTCCCAACGTGTCTGCCATTTGTTTAACCCCTCCAAAAAAATACGATTTGTCAGACTCTTCCAAATACGCTTCTGCCTCGACCTCCTCGTTTGAGCTGAATTTTTTTCGCCCGAGCCAAGTTTTTATGTTGGGGAACAGAAAGAGGTAGGGAGGAGTCGCAGGAAGCCAAGTTTCTATGATTCAGCCAAGTGATTTATCTGGATACATATGTTATGAACTCGTCTTTTCGAATTTAGTAAACCATAAACAGATAAAAATTCTTGTTTGCAAACTTTTTGCTCTTTTCCGTTTATTTCTACAAAGTACTTAAATGTAGTAGATCTTGAAGATGTCTGCCTTTTTGTTTTCTTTGGGTAGACTCGTTTTTTACCAACACTTTAGATTGTTCCAAATAAATATACGTTTTGTTTATTGAATGTTTGTAGGTCCCAGAATGATTTAAATACTTATCTCCATCTCTACTAATCTCAGCAATTTTCTGCAGTCATTCTTGCAATTGTCCTTGGCATTTGATTTTTTCCATTTGTAGTAATATATCTATGTCCGAGATTTCGTCTATGTTGGGCTTTAATAGTTTTTCTGCATTGTATGTTGTTTCGCCTTGTCCTAACGGCTGTTTTTGTAAATGTCTAGTAGTGCCTTCATTCTATTATAAAAAGTGAATACATTACTTTTTTGTATTTTTTTTTTCATAAAGAACCGACATTCATAAATTTTTGTTCAAAAAGGTAACAAGCCACAAGTTAGCTGACTTATTTCCGTTAAAACGTCTGGCGTTTTTTTGAGAAAAGTAGTTTCTTAATAATAAACTTGATGTAACTGAAGTGAAAGTAAATGCTCAAAACATATTCGAAGTCACATTCAACTGCCACGATTTTTAGATTTTTAAGGTTTTAAAATTGTTTAAAATTTTGATTGAAAAAGTAACGAGCCACGTTATATTTTATTTACCTCTAAAGAGAAAACATTGCTGTCCTCGCTGCTACTACTCGAATTAATATAGTCTTTATCCCATAAACTATCATCCTGTTCACTGGAAATATCACTTTTAACACTAGTTTTATCAAAATTAAGCAACTTTCGCTTAACCGTATTATCTCTGCTGCTCGCCATGATGAAAACGTGTTGCTTGCTTCGTTTTTCCGACAAAATTAGAAAATATAACAGGAAGAACATCTAGTTTAAACATTGAATTCTCAGTTTTGATTTTGATTTTGTTTCTTATTTATTGATTATTTTACATCGACAAAATAACTTTTTATTTGCGGAAGAGAAATTTCTACAATAAAACCTATACCATTTTCTTACGCACTATCTTATTAAATTGTTTACAATCTTGTCCAGTTTGCTATAAACAATAATAAAGTCTGTTTCCAAACTCCTCTCTAACTTTTTGGAACACTTTACCGTTAATTGACCAACATTCTGCCGCAATTCACCTTTTAAGATCATCAATATCAGCACGTTGTGTTTTATCAACAATGGCCTTAAAACGTCCTCAGAGAAAGAAGTCTAAGGGTGTTCAATCCGGTGATGTTGGAGGCCATTCAATTGCCAAACTTTATTAAGAAATTACTCTTTCGAAAATAAAAAGTGATTTTTCGCGAAGTAAAATAGTCAATAAATCCGAAATAAATTGTTTAAACTTGATTTGCTTCCGGCTATTAACCGATTTTAACAGTGTATCCTACTCTTGTATACTCATACATTTGTTTTTGTGGAAACACATAACCTGGAAACCAATCTCTGAATGCACGTAAGTTTAATTGTTTTTACAACTTTGAAACGCGATTATTCGGAAACCCCTGAACAAAAAGCAACAAAGTGATAACTAATGTAAAGAGAAGTGAACGCCTTTTAAAACGATGTGCCACTTGAGCTCCCCTCTACATCTACCCGTCCTAGAAGATTGAAACAAAGAGGCTAAAAATATTCATTTAAAGTGTCCCCTTACAAATAAAATTGATGGATTTTTCCTGCTTTTTCATATTATCAACTGCAAGAAGTGTAGATTTCAGGGACCCCCAGGATCCGCTCTTGTCAGCTGGGTTTAGCGTGAAAATAGAAACTCAGATGACAACAGCTAATAAGCTCGAAACTGGTCTTGGGTGTGCCTGAGACTAGCACATCTCGAAATCTACCGTTACTTACATCATAAACTCAGTAAGGGTCTGTCGAAGGCAAAATATTTATTGCTTAACTGCAAATTGCTGCAATTGGCAATTTACTGCAAAAAAGCTTATATCCTTTTTGTGTTATTTACAGAGCTGTTCGTGGTGCTATTCGACGAGCACTTAGAATTATTAGAATAGAAACAGCACCACCGTATATAGAAGTGAGACCTGCCGTCGTAATAAGACATCCATTCAACTACCATAACCTGATAAAATTACTGAGAACTTCTTCGCCTGATATTACACTCTTGAGCGAAGAGACGGTGTTTGATAGAGACCCCACCGTGCATCCACATATGTACTTCTTGCGAGTCCAGTTGGCCGAAATGGTTGGTCACCAACGAACGGTTAAAACTCTGGACGTAGTGGCAAAAGTGTTGGGGGTTATACCCCCAGACAATTTGGAGAAGACAAATATTTGCCTCAAAATGGAAAAGGAAATTAGGATGTATTTAAATGTGGTGCAAAAATATGACGTGTCTCAAATGTCATGGATTTCTTTGGATCATAAATATTCCGATCTTTTCCCTCTTTGTTATGGATGCGCTATCAGTTTAGAAAATAACGCGGCTACAAGAGCTGATCATACAGCAGCCATCTTGCTACAGAACTTAGATCCCTTGGGATTTGAGAAGTTGAGGGAACCTTGTAACTACGAGATTGCTGCACTGATAATCAAACGTTTGGCTCTATTCCATGCGACCCCTATAGCAACGGCCATGCATACAAGTAGTCGTTATCTATCAAGACAAGAAAATCGGTTGAGCAGACAAAGTCGTTTTGATCGTGGACACGTCGTTGAAGAACTTAAGAAAATAGGTTTGGTCATTACGCCCGACTCAGATATGTATCGTTATATGGGGGTAATTGATTACCACTTGCAAAGGTATGCCAACCATACTCATGGAGCTTATGCTCCCGAAGTTCGGTCATGGACTACCATAGCCCACTCTAAATGTTCCCTACGGAATATAATGTACAAACCTGCAGGTAATAACAGCTCTGCCGACTTAAAATTTTTGGACACTGGATATATGGAATTGGATTCCTGTGCTTCTGATTTAGCAGTTTTCATGTTGACAAGTATGACTGCAGAAGTTTTAGAAAATTCTTTTGATGATCTTTTAAACATATACCACACGGAATTTTCTCGTTGCATGTCGCTTGCTTATATTGAACTTCGAGAGCATACTTTTGAGAGTTTTCTAACTGAGTTTGAAAATAGGGTCGTGTGCAATATAGGTGCAATTGTATTCGAAATAGGCCACCTTCATTTTGACAACATTGAAGGACTGCACAATATATTCGGCATGTCTTATAGAGCTAAAATTGATTATATTATTCGGTTTATGGTGAGGAAAAATTGGATTAAGATATGAATATTGTTGAAGGCAAAGCTATTTATTATTAACAATATTATATTGCCAAAGTCCTATATTACTCACAAATCCATGTAATGTAGTAACATAGAAGGAATATAATATAAGGAAAATAATGTACAAACTTGCAGAACATAAAGGACCAGACAGCGTAAATCTTTTAAATACTGGATATATGGAATTTGATTTATGGGCTTATGATTTAGCGTTTTTCATGCCTACAACTACAATTGCAGAAGTTTTATATTATTATTTTGATAATCTGTTGATCATGTACTACAGGCAATTTTTTCATTGCATGCCGCCTGCTTTATTGACCTTAAAATGCATACATATGCAAGTTTTCTAACTGAGTTTGGAGGAAGGGCCATGTGCAATATAATAGGTGCTGTGAAATTTTATTTTAAAAATGTATTTTGACAACATTGAAGGAAGGCACAATATGTTGGGAATGTTTTATACAGCTGAAATCGATCATGTCATTAGGTTAATGGTATCGAAAAACATTATTGAAATATAAATATTGTTTAAGGCGGTGTTATTTATTAACAATATTATATTAACCTTGTATATTACTCACAAATTCATGTAATGCAGTAAAATAGAAGGAATATAATATTTTTCAACATTTTTAAAACGTACTACGAATACTTCGTCACTTTATGATATATGAAACATTGTATGATATAATTTTAATGTGCTCTGTTGAATTTTGAAATATTTTTAAATAAAGCAATATTTTTTAACTGTATTTCACATTCTTATACCCTGCTATTCATTCATTCAAATGCGTTTCCTCACCATGGTGAAGAAATGCAAAGTAAGTGCAAGAAGCAGCAAAGATCTGATAAATGCGAAAAGACAAATTTGGAAAGACA